CGAAAGAGCAATTCACACCATTAATGGTACTCATGTTGATGTCCTTGAAGACTCCATAGGTGCTCATGAAGTTTCAAAAAACCCCAAGATTCCAAGCCAGGAAAGAAAGACTCCAAAATCCGCTTATCTTTACCATGAATGTGTGAAACATATCCCCTAGGGTTCCAAGGAGTTGGTGACAATAACCTCGCTCCTAACTCTCCAGTGACCAATTTTGAGCGCCTTAGAGACATTATCCTGTGATATTTTTAAAAAAAGATGTCATGTTGTCATTGAACCTTTTAACTATCGGATCATACGACATACTCAAAGCCCTCTTAGCCTAGTTGATCTTCTTGAAAACTACACCCTTATTAGTTTATTTTAGTATGTCCTCATCAACAAAGACACACAAAAGGAGATCACCCCCATGATCTATTCAGCTTCATCGCTGATCACCTCCTTTAAATTCCTTTGGCTTCTTAATTACCATGAAAAAATATAGAAAACTGAACCAACCAATGAACAAATTTAGGGAACAAAAGATAGGTTAGAGGAGAAGTCGGAGAGAGAGAGAGAGAGAGAGAGAGAGAGAGAGAGGGAGGAAAGTGTGGGACAATCAAGTGAAAGAGCTAAAATGAAGTGAATATAAAACTAAGGACAAGGGAAGAGAAGACGAGCTCTAAACAACTCCTCAAATAAATCATATCTAACTATTCTTAAGAATTTCAAGCCACCATAAGAAAACATGAAATACCACGACATTACTCACTATGACCCCTATAGGCAAAGCCCCATCTTAGACGTTAACCTGAGTAGCTAGCTACAGGGTATTCGAAACCCTCGAGGCAAGTCCCCGAGGCCTCAGAGAACACCACAATAACATATTGATCCCCAACAAATGGGAAAATATTATCTTAGGCATTAACCTACTTAGGAGAGAAGAGAGTCGACGGAAGGAAAAGCGGTCAAAATAAAGAACATGACATTGACAAAATGTGAAAAGTGGCGAAAGACGACATGAAAGAGGAAGAAGATCGAAGATATGAAATGGAGAGACAAAAAAAAAGATGGAGAACTATACTTCTGTTTGGTGATGAATGAAAAATTTGTTATCTTTTATAAAAAAAAACAAAATGATGAAGAAGGGATGAGGGGAGTGGGAGAGAGAGTCCCTCAACCCCAGCACACTACTTCCTCTCTAACATAAAAAGGGAAGAGGGATTTAAAGCAAAGAATGCAAAAAAAATGAACAAATGGAAATCAAAAGAGATAGAAGAGAGATGGAAAAGAAGAGCGTGAGGTGGAATGCAAGAGCCTACAATGGTTGGAGAAAACATAGACAGAGGGAGAGAGTGTGTGAGAGAGAGAGGACATGAATGAACGTCCAATAACAAAAGGGATTGAGGGAAGTAAACAAAGATTGAACGAGGAAAGGAGGGGAAAAATAAAAAGGGAGATAGAGCAAAAAACCAACAATAAAATAAGAGCTATGTAAAGAAAAAATAATGAAAAGATGAAAGAAAAAAAGAGAGAGGTAGACTTAGATCTAAAGAAAATATGAGCAAGAAAGGCTCTGATCTAAAGCAAGACCCTCACATCCAAAACACGAAGAACATATCAAAGTAAGAAAACTCATATCTAAGACTAAAAAAATAGGGAAAAGAAATCGAAGGTAAAAGCATTGAAAAGTCACCAGAAGTCGCATGCTTAAGGACGCAAGCTGCTAAAGGTTGTAGGTCGTTGAAATCTCGCCATACGCCGTCGGAAAGTCACCCAAGGTCGCAGGGCTGAAGGGCTTAGGTCGTCGAAAGCTCGCTGATGGTCATTAAGGTTGCTCATCAGTGATCTCTCTCATTATTCTTAAGAATCTTATATATATATATATATATATATATATATATAGTATGCTAGTTCTATAAGGATGACTAACTTAAACTAACCTTAAATTTATACTATAACTATAGTTATTTACGTTAATTAAAAATTAGTTAGTTATTATCTTACAAT